AGATGGGAGGAAGGAGGGGTCCCAAAATACACCCCAGACCCATTTCAAGGAGGTGGACCCGAGGCGGACCAGAGTAAAGGCCACAGGGTGGCCACATCTGGGATTGGATGGATGGTATTATAAAATGTAACCTCTCAGGCACGGCCGGCGCGCGTCGTATACCATCTACTGCCTTGGCAAATAAACCCTTTCTTATCTCACCCCTAATTAACTGCTCCTGGAGATTTTTTCAGCACCAAAATACACCGGCAACACTGGACTAATAGTTGAGGTATCTGCGCAGTTACAGGATCTAACACCAGCTGACATGGATCCATATTCAAGTTGCAGTTTCAGCCTGTACAAATGAAAGTCATGTACAATACTTAACACAGCCAGAATTTCCCCTGATTTCCCCAGGCTGCTGTGATGACTCCCAGGTGACATTTTTAACAGCAATGGTTTGGTCAGGGTTCCTCCAGCTGTTTGTCTCTCTCAGAGGTTACTCTTGGAGCAGGGCTTATCAAGAGGAAAGAACTCAAATTCATAGCCAGAAGAATTAAAAGTACCAGCAATCAGTGTCTGCACAAAGTGAGCTGCAACCTGCTATAACAGAGGAGCTGCTGCACCTCCCTTTCAACCACGTTCTGGGATAATCATTGTTCAAGTATTCCAAGCTACAGCACCAACACCTGTCAGCATGTCATGGCTTTGCACTGTGAGGTTTCCATGTAGTCAATTCTATCCGGGTTTAATAGGGAGTAGAGGTAAGGCATCATTATCCTCATCATGGCCAGTCTTCGCGAACAAAGGTTTGGGAAAGGTCTTTACCCACATTTGTTACAAGCGCGCTGGTGATACAGGGCTTTGCAAATGCAGGTAAAGCCTTCGAGCCTGCGCAGTGGATTTTTTAGGTGAGACACAGTGTGCGCTGAACTGAGCCCACCCTTTAATCCTAAGGTTCATCTGCCGGGGCTGAGCGAGCTTGGACAATGGCAGTGATGTCCTCAGGACACAGGTTTGTTTAGAGTGACCTTCTCTTAGATGGATGGCCTTACAGGGCTGACGAGCTCCATCTACCTGGGTTTAGAGTTGTCCTTCTCTTCTGTGTGTTCCGGGGTTCCCCTCTCAACTCCCATGATGGCACTGTCCGCACAGGCAAAGTTCCCATTCTCTCACTCCTTTCTGTGGCCGGGGCTGGGCCCCAGCGCCCAGGGCCGGGCTGCGCCGCCACTCACACCAGAGGTAAGGCAACTACATTAATATTCACCACTTTTAAAGCCAGACATTCACAGTGTGAAAAAAATTAACCACTTTTTTTTTGCAGAACATACACCCAAATGTCACTAAACACTTTCAGTTCAGATCTACCCTGAAAGTTTTATTGAAGTGAAGCAAGCAGCCCATTATCAGTGTATCTAAATACACTGCACAATTTATGAAAGCAAACAACCAACTAAAAGCCAAGGTGAGCAGCAGCCATTAGGTATTTTCTGCTGGAATTTTATCACGGTTATGAGAAAGAAATTTATCTGCAAAGGAATTTTCAAGAGTCATCTTCTGGACTTTATGAAGATATTCATTGACTTTTGCAACAGTAGAATTAGCCAACAGCTGAGGCTCTGCAAAATCCCACTGCTTTTGTTAGTTGAGAAGCCAGGAAATAAGATTCTGTAAATTAATGCTGAAAAATGATTTTCTTTCCTAGAAGCAAAAGCAGAATCTACCCATGGTCCCTTGTGCTCCATAGCAATTATATGCACATTCAACACTTCTTTTACTACACACCATGTATACCATGGACTATAAAATACAGATCACCTGCCCTATGACTCTGTGAGACACTGGATTGTTATATTAATTATTGGCTCTGACCAACTCAAGTGTGTGGGGGGCGGGGAAGGGACAAGTCGAATTTCACAAAGGTAGAATAGTGTCCTGTTCCATACCCCAGCCCCTTGGAGCCAGCCCCAGAGCAGCTGTCAATCACCAGCAGACCAGAGCACTGCCCCACACCACACCCCCTGGAGCCTCTAACCCAGCCTCAGAATGGCTAGCACACCAGGAGCACTGCCCCACACCTCCCCGGAGACCCAGTCCAGCCCCAGAGTAGCCAGTGGGCCAGAAGTCCCACATGGGGGAGGGGAGGGGTGGCCACATGGGGCCAGAGCAGATAAAACCAAACACGTGTGGTCCCCACATTGTTGTGGCCCTGCCTTTTCCTGGACTTCTGGTAGCTGGATCTACGCTGGATCTAAGATGGTAGTTATAATTCTCTTTTCTCTCTTTCTTTACTACTTCTTCTTCTCCTAATCTTCTTTCTTGACATTTGGGTAACTTAAAGCTGAATGGGTTGCATTTGCTAAGTTGTACGGGTTAGCATGTGCTATGTCATTTCTTTGTGAAATGCTTTATTTTGGTTTAATGTTGCCCTTTAAACTTTTGTCAAGTTCCCTTATTTTCTAAAGTTTGCCAGTAAAATTGTGTTATTTGACCTCCTGAGAAACATGTGCAGTGTCTTCTCCCATGTGTTCTCTCAAGGTATATAAAGAACTGAAGGCCCTTTTAATGAGTCCAGCAGGCAGATTGTGGAGTCTTGTATATTTCTAAAAGTAAAACTCTTTGATGAGCTTATAGCTCAAACCTGGGGTCTTACAGACTCAGACTGAAATCAGCTTTTGTTATCAATTTCTATTATAAAATTCCAGATTTTGGAAAGGAAAAGTGTTTTTTTACTCAGCTTTGACAGAGATTTCTTAGATTTGCTTATATGGTAGTTTTAAGGAAAATAATACACACTGCAGGCCAAATAATATTTTGAGTTACCAGGGTTGTTGTCAGAACATAATTTGACCTGCAAGATCTGTAATTCTGAATTATGATAATGTTCAGGGTGGATTGTCTTTAAATCAACGGCCAGCAGTTGGGAGAAAAAACCACGTCCCTCCTGTAAGACTAATAAAATGTGGTACAGTGTGTAGTGGGTTTGTTACCCTCCCTGGGAGGGAAACAGAACTAGGATAGGTCATTTGATGTATCTTTTACCAATAAACTATTCCATACTATGTTACGTCATCTCAGATATAAAGGGACGAGAAGGAAACAACTTCTCCTTTTCTCTTCCGGGACAGTTGCATGGGATAGACGGCTGGTATTCTGAGGAGGAAAACACCTTTCGCGGAGAAGTAGTCTTTATTGTCAGTTTACCCTGTGTGTATAGTGCTTATAGTTCTTTTTTTTCCTCTCTGTGTAAATATAAAACCGCCTTTCTCGGCAGTATCGGGTTTGCAAGGTTTTTTTTTTCCTCTTCTTTCCCCCTTCTCTCCTCCTTTTCTCTCGGGGGGGGGGGGGGGGGGGGGGGGTGGGCAGAGTCTCGGTGGACACTGGGCGTTCAGCCAAGGTAACCGATAACACAGTGTCACCAAATAAGGGCAATTTAAGTCTATGGGTTCTAAAAATGCCTTTTTCAGAGTACATTTCATGGGAAGTAGTGATTATTAACACTATACATGTTTGGTAATAATCACAGCTTTGGAAGTGTGGGAGGAAACCAGGATCAACTAAATGGGCTTAGTATTTTGCTATTCACATCACATATAGCAGTGTATAAACATCCTATCCCGCAAAATGCCAGTTCTAATGGGAGAGGAAAACAGCACTTTGCACTTGGAGCACCTGTATATTGACACCTACATATTAGAGCACCTATAAGTTTCAGACTGCTTTTTTTCCATGCATTTCCATTTTATGCTCATTCTACAGTGTTGCAATTGCAACGACTTGATATTTGATGAAAGTAGCAATTGTGCTTATTTAATTATGGTGTGTATTTTATCACTATGCTTCTCAGCCTGCAACTAACTGAAGACCACTTGTTTGAAAAGTCCTGTGACTTCAGTAAGGTTTCATGTTCAAGTTGAACAGCATGGTCTGAATGAAAATCTCTTCTTAGGTTTTCTTAAAGATGTCTGCCTGGTATTTGTAAATCATTTGTCTTTATCTACCTTTTTATTTAAAAAAAAAAAGGAAAAAGAAAAAAATTCTAATTCAGTATTCTAAGCGAGCAAGATTTTGTGAGTTGTTTCAGAGAAAGTTAACATATTTATAATTTTTACTTAAAGTCTATTTCCAAAGGTGTTAAATAATTTGCTCTACATGAACTAGCAATTAAAAAAAATTCCATGGAAATTTTCTATATGTGCTTAGCTATTTGTGGGGACTAGAGCAACAGAACTTGGTTTTCAGTTGACGCTAATCAAACTAAATCACACTGGCATTCACAAAGAACAAAATAAAAGCGAGAAAATTATAAAGCATAAAGACAAAAATTTTAGTACAAATTTTGGGAACTACATCTGTTATCACAGTTCAAGAGTGAAAGACCCAGAAATGGAAAGGAAAACCAAATGTGAGAAATTGAATCCATAAAAAGAAATCAGCATGACCTATGAGAGAACTTCAAGTACCTCAGCTACTCACATACGTGGGGGAGAAACTAGTAAAATTTGATTTTGGAAAGCTTTCACTCCTAACAAGCATTCACTGTCAATACTAAAAGATAAAGGATATGAAGCATGAACCCAGTGTTCCTTATCTTCATCTCCAATGACTGTAAATCTACTTTACATAGAAGAAGCACTTGGAGTTGAAACTGAATTAAGTGGTTGGCTGAGCACCTCCTCCCCTTTCCCAATAAATTTGACAGGTCTCATTTTCTGCCCAACTGTGAGAAGGGGGAGTGTGGTGCTTGGAAAGGGTACTAAATCAACAGAAATAAGACGTAGCATTATGCAGCAGCAGCAAGAGACTAAACACCATGCACTGCCATTTAATGGAAAGATGATGTTTGCAGTCTTCCGCAGGAAAATTGATTGTTGCTGCTATGACAACAAGAGGAAAGATGTGATGTCACACAATGATCTAAGCAACTGTTGTCATGTTGTTCCAGCACACAAGCTGTTCAACTCACAAGCTGGGAATCCAGTAGAGACTTCAGTAACTGCGCCTGTTCAGTAATTACTGAAACTTTCCCTGCACCATGCTTCCAACTCTGCGTGCACAAGGCTATTGGATGTAATCACGAGGGTTAAGTTCTCAGTCTAAAAATTTCAAGCCTGTAACTATTAGAAATCTGTAACAGCTTCAGCATGTTTGTTAGATACAAGCTCTCTCATCTGACAGGGAGAAATGGGGAGCAAAACAATATCAGCATATCATTGAAGTCTTGAAAGCAAGCAATGGAAAAACTGCATGATTTGCTTGACTGGTATGTAGGGCAGCTCCTTCTCTAACCTACAGCAGTGTTCACTTTAACTGGAAAAGACTGTCCAGGATAGATCCTTTGCTCATTTAAATCATTGCAGTTCTCCCAACTGCAGCAGAGTGATGCAGATTTTCTGCTGGCCAGGATTCTGCCTCTTGAGTCAATTTGCACTGGTACACAAATAAGTGTGTACATCGTGATACATCCAGGAGCCTTTTGCTTTCTTAGTCATGCAAAGCTAAAGAACTAGAAAAAACAAGCTGTCGTGTACACTATGTCAGGAAAATAGAACAATTAATAAATCACAAGGGTTTAAAATAGAAAATTTGCAGCAAAAACACAAATCCCTGAAGACAGTTTGAAAGCTCCTAAACTTTGATCCTCCCAGCAGCAGTAGAAGGAGGAGGCAGAGGCAGACCTCTGGCTTTCAACATGGGAGAGGGAACTGGCTTGAGAGAAGGGTGCTTCCATCAGAGCCTGCCTGCTCAGGAACAGGCCTGGCTGTCTGCCTAAAACTGATCTCAAAAGGCACAGAAGAGTTCATGACTCCTTATTTCTTTTGAACTTTAGGCATTCTAGAAAATCTGAATTTTGCATCAGTTTAAAAGCACCACAAAGCAAAACTCAGATCTTCTGTAATAACTGGAGGGAGAGCTTTTACACACAAAATGGAGACAGTGTTCTCATAAAGAAACTTACCTGCAAGATTTGGAAAGAACTGCTGTGAGTTAGATTAAGTGTTTCAGTGCCACATCCTTCCTCTCCAAAAACACTTAAGTTACAGCAGATCTCCTCACCACTTCATTTCAATCTGTAAATATAAATTTATTTGATATATTGAATAGGACAAACAGTGTTGCCAGATGCTTCTGAATATAAAAAGTAGATAGTTGGAGCTTTACTGAAGTTAAGTTCTTAGTCATAGAAATGTGATAAATGCAGAAAGAAAATATCTTCTTGTTAAAATTTGTGTTGATCATTTTCCCAGATTTAAAGACAGTGGATGTAGCTTACCTTTAGTAAGTTAATTACAATAGCAAAATAAGTAACACAGTGGCATTCTGGGTTAATAGTCTCTTATTTGTACAGTATGGATGAGACAATGCATAGGAAAAGAAAAAATGCATTAGCACAGCTTCCTTTCTGTTATGTTTTAGTGGAGAAAAATTTAGCCAAAGTCAAAAAAGAACTCAAATACAGTATCTTGTGTATACAAAACTTCCTGCATGTACTCTGAAATTTGCTTACACAGACCATCACAAATAAAGATCTTGAAGCCTTCATCTGAGATTCATTGAACTTGCTAGAGCAAACTAAATGCGTGAACCATCCCACTAAATGGCTCACCCTATGGCTCTGCTATAGACCCTTTATATGCAAAAAGTCCGTAAAAACAGAATATCCAAAATCCTCAGTGGGTCAGTGCACCTCAGTCCTCCTCACGGTCTCTGTCAAAAGGGTGGTATCTAGAGGAAAAGGATCTACCTTGTTTCTTCATACAGAAGAAAGTTTTTGAGTATTGTCATACATTTGCCTTTCTGGTACAGTACATCCCTTTTTTCTGCAGGGATCTGTGAAGTCCTTAGGAAGTGCAGAGTTCCTACATCTCCTCTCCCAACACAAGTGCTGTAAGCAACCAAGGTCAAAATTAGAGCAGTTGAGAAGCTGCTCTAGGTTGTGCTCTGTGAATGGATGCTGGCCATCTCCAGAGACACGAGGGTATGTAACTCCAAGCCATCAGCAAGGAGCTCTTCTGGCACCAGCCTTCTTCCATGCCCTCATACTCTCATGTCTGATGTTAGGCTCAGGTCTTTCATTAAATTATCATTTAAATATTCATTAAGTCTCATTGTGAGTAATCCGTTTTCAAAACACTGTGAAGATCATCCTTTCTTAGTAGTTAGTATAAAGGTGAATCAATGCAAAATATTTTCTCTTCATAGTATCATTTAGATTAGAAAAGACCTTCAAGATCATTAAGACCAACTGCAAACCAAACACTGCCAAGTCCACCAAAAGAAGCAATGGAATGACCAAACATCCTTCTCCAGGTGCTCTCTACCATGCTTCCCTTCTAATAATACAGATATTTCATCACGGACCCACCGAAACTCCCAGTGTGTTTTTTCCATCAGCACTGTCTGGAGCAGAGTTGGACAAAAATTTGAAGATGTTGTATGACAACTGTTAAGATTCACTTTGCACCCAATGGAAGCTGCTTTCTCTCAATCTGATATTACTCTGTTCCTTAAGGGTATCAGCCTTCTCTCCAGCTGACACTACAATAGCAGTTGCAGCAGCTCAGCATTTCCCAAGAATTTCATAAAAATATGCAGGACCCAAAACACAGAAGTCTCTGATGGAAAAAACATGTTTAAGCCCATCACTGACACAGTAATGTTGCTGTGTGATTTCTTGGATGGCATAATTTTCTTCAGTATAAAGATTAACAAATACATGAATCATTCAGTCTGCCTACAACACAGTGCTGGTAGCGAAGTTTTTACCGTTATGTGACTCAATCCTATCTGCACTTGTCCAGATATAAAAATAAATGTTATGTAATGCACAGATCACAGAATCAATACACTGTGTGCATCAAATAGAGGAAAACAGCACAGGAACTCCTATGCTAAGAAGCAAAAAAGCTTGCAATTCTAAACCTGAGTAATTTGATCTAAAATTTGGTCTATTTGTCTTGTCAGTATGAGCAGCAATAAAGACAGCACAGCAACAAACCCAGCAATCCTGTTGGTTTGTTCTGGAACATAAAAAAAAAAAGTTTCTCCTTCAGGCTGACACACACTGATGAAAAAACACACTACTAATGATGCTGAGAGTGGAAGAGATTAAGATAGGGGGTTCAAAAGTGAGCATATTGCAACAACCTATGGAGGGACTGCCACCTTCCCATTAGAGGAAGAAATGTGAAAAGTAGCATTTGCCTGGCATTTTCACCTTTAAAATGCTATATGAACATTAACAGATAGTTAAGATAACTACATAAAGATATTTTAATGAAACATACATTTCCATCTCCAGTTTTTTCTGCAAGCTTAAAGTTTACATTATGTTAATTATTGCAAAACAAATTCTCCATAAAGCAGAGGAATAAACAGGTACCTCCTCCCACACCAATAAAAGCTTGTATCCATCATTATTAGCTGAAATTGTGACCCAGTTATGCTAATCTCATGCAGGAAAAACTTTCCTGATTTCACAACAGCAAGGAAGTGGAATGTCTTGTCTTCTTAAAGGCATTTGTTTTGATTATTACAAGTAAGTTATTTTATATTTTAACTTGGATTTCATCTAAAAATTAAAATGGGATGTAAGCTTGCTTTGTTTCTAAGTTCTATTGTAATTTATATATATATATGTAAAGGGGTACATATATATATGTACCCTAGTGAGATATGCAATTGTAACAAAGCAGTCTGCTCAGAGAATCCCCAAATTTCAACTTTTATATAACAAGCCCCTTGGAAAAACACCTGTTGCTTTGAGAAGCCTCACTTTTTCCTTAGACAGCGAACAAAATCAATAAATTGTACTCTTCAAACAGTTACAGCAATCCATCCTAAAATTCCTAATCTCTTCACATTTCTCCCTGTCCCAGCAATTTTGCTTCCTGTCTTTGAGAGGCAACAAGAACTATTACATATATACCTTTCTACAAACTGAGAAATGAAAAAGAGTTACAGAATTTAGAAACCCTGGCTAAGTAAACAAATATTTCAAACAAAGCCAAGGCTCCCAAGGCTGATGTTCTGGGCTCATAGGAAGGAAATGCAGTGAGCAAGTTGGAAACCTGCAATCCTGAAGCCCAAGATTTCCTGAGGTAAAGTTCCAAAACGTCTTGGTGAACTTGTGCCAAAACCCAGCAAAAGTATCTAGAGGGGCTACATATCAAAGGCAATTTTCTTCGGCAGGAAAAAATACAGAAAACAGAATGTGAAACCAATTCAAGCAAAAATTGCAGGGCATCTATACATTTTGAAGGCATATATTGACAAAAGACAGTTGTCAACAGCTGTCTTTTACCTGTACTCACTGGAGCTCAAAAGAAAGAGAGGAAAGAAGAAGAAGAGAGGCAATGAAGAAAAGAGGAATTAAATCAGGCTCACCAGTTGTAAAGCTATAGCCATCAATACTGAACGTAGCACTCCAGCATTTTTTAAATCCTTCCTTTCTGCTACTTGGCTCTGTCATGATCTTGCTAGCTTGTACTGTCAGCAGCCGCCTTTTTCTCCCCTGTGGAAGCAGTGCGCTTGAGCTCACTCTTAGCTGTCCTTGAGTATGTGATGGCACGCACAGCCAACCTCACATATCTCATGGGGAGCCAAAGCGAAGAGGCATGCACCCAACAGTTTTCTCCTCGCCCAAACACTCTCATTGGCATGTTGTCTACATGCCTGCTCAGAGTTTAACAACTGGTTAGAGGCTTTGCTATTGAAACCAGCAGTCAGTGCGAGACTACCAAATCAATAAGCCAGCTGTAGCTGTCAAATCTGTGTGTAGGAGGCAACACACACAAGATTTTGCTGTGATCTATCCACTGACTCTCCTTGTATTCCCTGCTATGCTGCAACCTGTTTCTGTGGCTCCTCTTGCTCACAGGGATTTCTGACTTGCAGCAAATTGTGCTCCAATTTAAATTCTTCAAATACAAGCAGTGTGTTTTAAGTATTTGAGATACAGTGAGTCAATCCAAAATACAGTACACCATCAATCATATACTACTTATACAAACAGCAAGTGTCTAGAAACACAACTGGCAGCAGAACAGGAGATTATCAGTAAGGAAGAACATGGGAAAACAACGTAAGTAATTTAGCAGTAATGATGATAAACTGAGCAAAATGGACATGCACGCACACACACACACACACACAAAACAGTCCTCCGAACTCTTCCTCATCCTTGTGGTTCCTCCTCCTCCATGGTTTGTAAACTCATCTCTGCAGTTTCTTTACCTAGTTATGTTCAGAAATGTTGACTCAGAATGCTTGCAAGCAATCCACTGAAAAAGGCAGGCAGATCATCTGTATTTATCCTAAGAACAGACAAACTTTAAAGTCAAGGTTGGCAAAGTTTTCACAGAAGCAGCAAGCCAAAGTTTTATAAGTAGGCATCCAAGAAAACACTGTCAACATCTTAATGATTCCAGTACACATAAATTTGTGCAATTCTTTTGTTTTTCCTTTAATGTAAAATTAGAAACATGCTACTGAAGTGCTCCAATTTTGTCATGTTCCCAAGCATAAAAATTAATTCCATGTAAATTCATCAGGTTTTGCATTGCTCTGGATGAAAACTACGTGGAAACACTAACTTTCAAGAAGACTACCATCAAAATAACAGCTGAGACACAGTTTACTAAAAGCTTGCCCCATGCACACCAAAAGATTTACAAAATATCAGCAGACCTGGTCATGTTTAAGGTATAAACCTCAGCCCTACCTTGGTTTCTCAAAAAAAGTTTAAGTTAAACAGAAATGCTGCAATTTTAAATTCCTTTTCTCCAAAGGATGGAAGAGAATCACTACTGAATTCTAGCAGTTAATTTAAATTCCACTTAGTTCTACCCTAGTGAAGAGCTACAGTCAAATAGAGCATTTTTGTTAACTTCTTTTAATGATTTGGATGTTCAATAATATAACACAAGTTCATTAGGAAAATAGCTGTTTGCAGTGAGGGTTTTTACCAGGAAGGAGTACCTGGTCTACCAGGTTTCCTGACCTTTCAAAACTGAAACAATAACTACTTACATACATTTCCATCACTCGCACCCGCAATTTTTGACCTCAAAAGTGTAGGCAATAGCTCAGGAATTTTTTTTAAAGAGTTGGAGCTATAAAGGTAGCCAGTGTCATGAAGGATGCTCAAGCAGTTTACTGAACTCCATCACGTAGGTGCTGTAAAGTGTTTCTAAGGAATAATTTTTTCTGTCACTGGTTATATAGATCACATAAGCACATAAGCTCTTCCTAAGACAGCAAAGGCATAGGGAATTATTCATACTATATCTAGAAAGCACAAAGTTAAACATTATCTCAATGAAAGATATGGAACCCTGGCAGCTCCAGAAATTCGGAACTGTCAGGGTTTGAGTTTTTTTGAAAATTTAATTATTTGCTAATACCATTTTTTTCCTTAAGCAATAAAACATTTATTCATAAAGAAAAATTGTGGGAAGATACCAATGACAATCATGAAGTTTCAGTCAAGTTTCTCAGTTTGAGAAGAAATGTTCTTCCAAATAAAAGACAGGTGGAGATAGCCTTGCTTCCTCCCTGGCTTGGACAGTATATGCACATAGGAAGCAGAGAATTATATTACCATTTCACTTCTCAGGAGAATACCCAGATCACCAAGCTACTGCCAAGCTGTTCATTTCTTATCTCCTTCACTAGTGTTTTGGCCACTTTGTACAGATTGCCAGAGAGAAAATTATCTGGCTGTTCAGTGGCTGTGCACACCAGAGTTACCTTGTCCAAGGCCCAACTAATACTAATTCAAATAATTGTAGTAGTTTGATAAGCTCATTTAGGTCAAAGTGAGCAATTGCCCCAGGAAGAATAAAGACAGTAACTCAGCAGGGTAAAATGATCAAATCAATTTAGAAGCCACATGCTTGGAGAAGGCCCTTAACTGGCTGGTTGTAGCAGGATGCTCTCTCCCTGCAAAACTGCAAAGGGACTCACATTGGGGTGAAAACGGTAAGGTTTTGCCCTGCAAGTTTTCCAAGAAGGAAAGTTTCTTTCCAGCTCTAGTTAAAATTTAATCCAGCCGCTCAAAGAATTACCAAAGTGTATCAGAAACTTGATACCTGATCCTATCTGACTCTGCGTTTTGTTGTTCACTGCTTGGCTAGATTTCAGGTCTCCATTTACATTCTGCTTTCCCAAACAATCCCTACAGATTCACTCAGGGTATGAGTACATTTATTACCTTCCACTGCCAGGAAGTGCCAATATAGATGATCAGGCTGCTCTTTTGGCTGCAGTTCACTGCCATGTAGAGCAATATACATTTAGTCATTTGTAAACCACCTGGACATCTTTGAGATGAAAAGCCCACTGTGAGTTGAAAATATTTATTATTATTGCTGTAAACAGACCAGGGTATACATGACAACCCATAAAACAGCAGTTACTTTGATATTTTCCCCTTACTTTTTAATGTGTAGAAGCGTTTGCATGTTTTCAGGAAGTCTGTTTTAACCAAAGATCATATGAAATTAAACAAAATAGCCATCCAAATCTGCCATCCTCCAACATACATGCTAGAGGAAGTTGTGAAAAAACAACCACCTGTAACAGATGGGAAAGACTTCCTATTTCTAAGCAGTACTTTTCTGCCCTGAAGTATGACAAGGCATACTAGTTATGTAAATTTCTCTCAGCAAGACTTAAAGATTTTTAATTGCAATTTACACTCAAAAACTTTCCAAGCATAAACTCAAAACATCAACTGCAAGGAGAAATACTTCTGTGTACTAACTCAAAGGCATGACTTGTCATTTCAATCCTGTATCCCTGGCTCATGTAGTGTGAGAAATGGAAAAAAAAAGCACTAAATAAAATCCTAGCTCCCCAGAAGACAAGGATAAAACTGCCACTCACTTCAGCAGCACTGGAGCTCTATCCTCCTGGTTTTCCATACCTGTGCTTCTGTTTACTTAGTTCCTAAGACAAGCAAATTTCACAGGAGCAGTGTTAAATGTAGGTCTCAGGTATTTGTAGCACCAGTCATTAAAGTTATCAGAATTAGGATTTCTGAATTTTTATCTATTCAGAAATGTCTCAGGTATCCTAAATCAATGGAAAACTTGAATTTGAATATTAAGAAAAAACAAATGCAGCCATACTGGGTCAGACCAAAGGTCCATTGAACCCAGTGTTTTATATCCAGCTCTGTATCAGATTTCCATCGGTGCTCAAAAATAAATGCTAAAAAAATTATAAAGACGCTAAAAATTATGAAGAACAAGGCAGGCTGTGGTGATACTAGATATCCAACCACCACCAGCTTGGATATCTAGTGGTGGCTGGACCAACGGTGTATTCTGTATGTTCATAAACAGTCCAGAGTTTTCTGTTCAATCAGCTTAAACCTTCAGCACCCTGAGCATTCTTCATCAGAGAGTTTAAACTAAACATTGCATGAACACCTCCTGCTATTGTTTGTTTTGAATCTTTCTCCTTCTCATTAACTGGTTGCTGTTTAGCCTAATACTCAATACTGATTCTGAAGCCTTTGGGCTATGAATCTAA